CTTTCTTTCTTTCTTTCTTTCTTTCTTTCTTTCTTTCTTTCTTTCTTTCTTTCTTTCTTTCTTTCTCAGCAACCCCCTACCCCCCATTTTTGGCCTAGCAGGCGTCAGGAAGCCTGCTGGCAGCAAAAACGGACCCTCCCACCCTGCCGTTTTTGGCTGTGCGACGTGTGCGATCGTCTGAACTTTTTTTTAAAAAAAACTTTTTTAGTATTTTCTACTACTGGTTCGGGTGGTCTGGCCCGAACCGGTAGCATTTCCCCCCTGTTGTACTCCCATTTTAATTCTGCAGCTGGGATCACAATAGTTTGCAAGTCACGGTGATAGGGTTGTCGATACACAAACAGTGAATTGTAGGTCAGTGATGGCGAGCCTTTTCGGCACCGAATGCCCAAACCGGAACGCACATGCTGGAGCGCCAGAAACCTGACCAGTTGGCCGGCATGCGCATGCCTATTTTTTGGGCATTTTCCTAGTGTTTTCAGGGTGTTTTTGGACTGAATAATTGCCCCCAAACGCCCCCAAAACAGCCTCAAAATGCCATTTTTTCAAGCCATTTTCCAGCGCTCCAGTGCCTGCGAAGACCAGCTGGCTGTCGTGCCAGAATCCAGCAGCTGGCGATGGCACAGGTGCCCACAGAAAGGGCTCTGCGTGTCACCTTTGGCACGCGTGGCATAGGTTTGCCATCACAGCTGTAGGCTATTTTTTCCCCCCTGGTTATTCAACCCACAGAGCCAATTCCCAGGCAGTGAAGCAACAGAAGGCTGAGTGTTATCAGAAAATCAGCTATTCAAATTTCTCCCTCCGCAGCTCACACCTCTTGCTCAAGCTGCAGCCCTCTCCTTACTTACTAGCTAACACTATTGGTGCTATTATTTTTTGTGCTTTGAAGTTTTTATTATTTATTTTTTAACATACATATAATCCAAAGTATGCCATTACATCTTAACAAACATTTTTTTAAAAAAATATTCAATATTATATCAAGTCCTCTTACCATTAAGTCACATCAACTTTCATTTGGTCTTTTGCTGTCCATACACCGTATGATAGTCTGTTTCATTTTCCACCTTTCTCCTCTCCCTCTCTCCTCCTCCTTACCTCTTTTCTTCCCTTTGCCATCTCTCTCTTCTCTACTTCCCCTTGCTCTCTCCCTCTCCTCTCCCCTCTTTCCACATTATTGGTGTTACTATTATGGTTCCACCACAAAACCACGTTCGACTAAAGCACGCTCGACGAAACCCCGTAGCTGACGTCATCACAGGGTGGCAACAGCGCGGAGACAGAAGCACGCTGTAAACGCTAA